GAAGTAAGCACAAGATGCCGAACACCCTTAGCAGGATGCAGCGCACCCTTCATGCGACTCGGCGAATACCTCACGGCGCTTGGCGCTTGGTGATGTGAGAGCCTGGTCCGGTGAGAACCCGGCGTGGTCCGTCCGGCTTTGTAGGGATGCGAGGTCAATGGTCTAACGACTACGGCATGCACGACTATGTACCCCCCCCCCCACCCACCCCCTCCCCTCGGTCTCTTCCCTTTCCGCCTGTGCCCCTTCCTGCCCACGGTCGCCCGTGCTGGCATGGTGGAACTGACCTTGACTTTGACCTTGCAGGAAAGTGCGGTTCCGTTACCCCGCCCGGCCTGATGCTCTGGTGTTCCGTAGCTTCAAGCTCAAGGTGGATGCGGGGACCACGGTCGCTCTGGTACGTCTAGCAATCGAACCTGTACCGTGCTCATTTCGTTGGGAATGACTTTTTTTGTTGTTGTTCGAGATGTAGATATCCGCAGGAAAAGCCCAGCCCGGAAGAGGAGTGAGATAATCGTGGTTTCATTTACGGAATGTACCATATATGTCCACGGTTATGCGCAACCCAGAAAATGTGTGAGATAAAACCACACTCTTACTACCACTACCGTCTTTGTATGCACGCACACAGGCTGCGCCAATATTTGGAAACTTCAAATCCCGCTTTTATTGTTTATTTGGAAACTCCTAAATCCCTCTGCCGTTTATTAGAAGCACCCACAACAGACCTCTCCAAAACTTAGGAAGCTCCAACACCCCACTGCCGTTTGTGGTTGAGGCACTGCTCTAGTAGAATGCACCACCATTTGAGAAACACCAACAGGCCACTTGTGTTTTCATTTGTATTGGAAGGCACCACTACAGAACGAGCGACAGCCGAGGGGAGCGCTGAGGTAGACAGTTGACGTGACGCGGAGTTTGAGTCCGATGGGGTTATGTATCTCGGAACACGCGTATCACGGCAGTTGGCATACGTACGCACGCGTACTGTACCCGTCGCGACTCGCAAAACGGTGCGGATGAACAGTTGGACACGATACTCAAGCGGGAGGGTAGTCCTCAAGGGGACTAACAATTTCCCCAGCTTTGGTGGTGTCATGAGGACGTTTTGTAATTTGAGGGAGAATCAATACCAACGGTCAACAATGGCGGAAAAACGAACATCTTGATGGCGAACAAGCTAACGTCAAAGCGAACCGACAATGACAGGTTGGCGCGTCCGGCAACGGCAAGTCTACGGTGATCAACCTGCTTCTGAGGTTCTACGACCCGGAGAGAGGAGCGGTTCTCATCGACGGCATGGACATCCGGTCCTTCAACGTTGCTTGGTTGCGGGGACAGATTGGGCTCGTCTCGCAGGCAAGACCAAACTCGAGCGAGAGTTTACTCTTTTTCCCGTTTTTTTTTTGTTTTCTCTGACGGAGGTATTGTTATTTGCGTGACGAAACGTGGCATTCTTCGTTTTTTCTTCTGCGCTACGCAAGTGTTGTGTTGTGCAAGACGAAAGGAGTTTTTGTTTTTGTTCTTTAATGGAAGCGTTGTAATTTGACAACAAGCCCGCATCATTTGTTTTTCGTTCGGGACGTAAAGAGCAACCCCGGGGCATCTGGTGGCGACCCACAACAGTTCGTTCCGTTTGGCCGGGCCACCCTGCTTTCTCGCTCGTTTGCGCGGACGATGAAGCGCACCATGTGCTTTCGTGAAGGCTGAGGTGTCAAATCTTGGCTACGCGAATCTCATTGTCGTGGGGCGTGATGAATGATACAGCAATGTTTTTTTGGACAAGGTTCATGCTGCCACAGAAAAGTACCCGGTGGAGATAGTGACAACAGTCTTCGTCGTTTTTGTTGGCGATTGTGATGTTTCCCGCTCGTGCCCACTTCCTGTCCTTGCCCCCCCCCCCCCCCCCCCCCCCCCCCCCCCCCCCCCCCCCCCCCCCCCCCCCCCCCCCCC